ACAATATTTCTTTGACATACATAAAAGTGATGGAAAAGATAGAATATCTTTTACCCATCCGATAAGTTTATCAACGTTTTTTCAAATAATCAAAAAAAAGATACCCCTTTTATCATTAGAAAAAGATATTTCTAATAAATTGGACAATTTTTGGGTTTCTAGAAACAAACAAAAATTAAATTCTATAAAAATTGATTTGTTAAATCGAATTAAAAATCTTGACAAACCAGTATCAGTCCCAATACTAGAAATTGAAACAACCAAAACGCGATTATGTATACACAATGATGAGACTAGAAAAGAATACTTACCAGAAGAGTATGATCCCTTGTTAAATGGGCCTTCCCGCGGAAGACTAAAAAAAGATATAACGTTGATAAACGAGACTTCGATCAAAAAGTTGAGAGAGAAGGTTATGCTAAATAGACTTCATGCTTTATTGTTGATGTCTCCTTTTGAAAAAAAGGAAAAAAAACCATTACAAGTTGGTGAGTTCTCAACTTTATCATCGAGTTTCAATTTAACGGATTCAGAACAACTAACAAAATTTTTAGTAAATGTAATTGAGACAGACGATAAAAAATATTCTGCAATAGAAAAAATAGGTAAAGAAGAGATTGGTAAAAAAGTCCCCGGGATGGTCATACAAATTAATAACTGAATTGGAACAAATATCGTATTTTAGAAATCCACCAGATGATCATGATATTCGTTCAAGAAAAGGGATAAGTGTATTAATTTTTGAAGAGCCTAAGACTCTCAAAGATAAGACTACAAACAAAGATAAGAATACAAAAGAGACAAATATTCAAGCTATAAAATCCGACAATGATGAGAAAGATAAAAATATGAAAAAGAAAAAGGAAGATGAGGATAATAAGCTTTATTTGTTACGATATCCGCACCAATCTGATTTTCGCCAAGGCTTAATAAAAGACTCTATGCGAACTCAAAGACGTAAAATAGTTATTGAGGGACTTTTTAAAGCAAATGCGCTTCCCCTCTCTTTTTTGACAGGATGAGGAAAAAAACCTTTTTTTCTATACCATACCTGGCTCAACTGAAACGACTTTTTATAAAATGGTCATCCAGAAACGAGTTCGGTATTTTAGAGTCTACAGAGGAAAAAAAAACAATAATAAAAAGAGAAACCAAAAAGGAAAAGAAACGACGAGAGGAAATAGAACGGTTAGAGATAGGGGAAGCCTGGGAAACTTTCCCATATACCCAAATAATAAGAGGTTTGTTATTAATAACCCAATCAATTCTGAGAAAAAAAATTCTATTACCTTCATTCATAATCGGGAAAAATATAGGGCGTATGCTACTATTTCAAACTCCTGAATGGTCTGAAGATTTAAAGGGATGGAATAAAGAAACGCATGTGAAGTGTACTTATAATGGTATTCCGTTAGCTGACAAAAAATTTCCGGAAAATTGGTTGACAGAAGGTATTCAAATCAAAATTTTATTTCCTTTCTGTCTAAAACCTTGGCACGAATATAAATCACTAACTTCTCGTGATGACTTTTGTTTTTTAACAGTTTGGGGAAGGGAAACAGAACACCCTTTTGGTCATCCACGACAAACACCTTCGTTTTTCGAGCCTGTTTTTAAGGAACTTTACAAATTTGTAAAAGTAAAAATCAAATTTTTAAAAAAGTTTTCAAAAAAAAAAACAAGTTCAAACGAAAAAAGAACAATACACCCGAGTTTAATAAAAAAAGAAAAAGATGATCAAATAAATAACCAGATAATGAATCAACCCTTGAGTAAAATTGAAAAAATTACAGATTGGAAAAATTATTCACCGATAGACAAAATACAGGCTATTACTCATAGGACAAATACAATTAAAAAAAAACTAGAAAGAATTACGGAAGATAAGAAAAGGCTGACTCTAGAACTAGATATGAGCCCTTACAAAAAAAGTTCGAGATTAGCCTTGTCAAAAAATTTTTGTCAAATGTTAAAAATAAAAAAAAATAGATTAAGATATAAATTTCATTATTTTATAAAATTATTGATTCAAAGAATATCTAACTATATTTTTTTATATACTATATCTATTTGCCAAATGACTGAAAAACTCTTTGTGGAATCAACAAAAATGAACTCTCTTTCAAATATAAAAACGCATAATAATAAGCGTTATAAGGAAAAGCCAGAGAATTTTGGTGATTTATCTAACTTGTCACAAGCATATGTATTGTACAAAATATCACAAAGGAGTTTTTTGAACGTATCTAATTTGATGTCTGTTCTTCAACAAAATGGAACATCTTTCTTGATTGAAAAGAATTTCTTTATTAAAAAAAAAATAAAAGACTCATTTCATAAACAAGGAATACTTCAATCTGAAGGAATAAAAAAAGAACTTAAGCGGTCTAGAACGAGTCAATGGAAATTTTGGTTAAGAGGGAATTCTCAATACGATTTATCTCCTAATTTCTGGTCTGCCTTAAGATCACAAAAACAAAAATGGAGAAATAGGGCGAATCGCTATCGTAGGTCTAAACAAAAAGATTTACACAAAAGGAATTCCAGTAGAAAATTAAAATTAAATAATTACAGGAAACAAAAGGATGCTAACTCAGTATTTAATAAAAAAAAAAAAGATAATTTTAAAAAATGCTGTCAATATGATCTTTTAGCATATCAATACATTCAGTATGAAAAAAATAGTGGACCCCCTCCAGGAGCTAAACGGGAAACGATTTCTTATCATTACAAGATGTCACAAAACAACTTGTTTGCGATAACGAAAAATCTTCCTATCACTAGTTTCAGAGAAAAAATAGAAAGGGTCAATATCCCCTATACAGACAAAAATTTAGAGAGAAAATATTTAAATTTGAAAAAGATTAATTTTTCTCTTGATAAAAAAGCGGATATTGAGTCCTGGATCACGGGTAATGATAACAATACTCAAAGTACTCCAATTTTCACTTATAATTATCAATTAATTGATAGAATGGAAGAGATTGTGAAAATTGAGCAAATTTTTAAAAATGAAAAAGATCCTTTTGCTCTTTTGATTCAGACAAATACCGAAGAAAGGAATCTAGTAAATTCTAAAAATTCTTTATTGGATTGGATGGGACTGAATGAAGCAATACTCGACCGTCCATTAACGGCTGAGGAACTTTCGGTCTTCCCAGAATTTCTGTGGTTTGTTAATATATATAAAATGAAACCATGGATTATACCAAGCCAATCACTTATTTCTAATTTGAATCTCAATGATGAAATGACGAATCAAAAGATCGGTAAAATTAAGAATAAAAACAAAGATAAAAAGGATAAAAAGAAAACTGAGGGTGAAACCAAAGGTAAAACTGAGAGTAAAAAAAAAGATAAAGCCGAGGGTCAAACCAAAGGGGAAACTAAAGGTGAAACCAAAGGTGAAACCAAAGGTGAAACCAAAGGTGAAACCAAAGGGAAAACTGAAGGTGAAACCAAAGGTGAAACTGAAGGGGAAACCCAGGGGGAAACTGAAGGGGAAACTGAAGGTGAAAAGAAAAGTCAAACTGAGATAGAACTAGAGTTATTCCTGAAAAATTATTTATTTTTTCAATTTAGAGAGGATGAGGATGTTACTTTTAATCAAGGCCTTTTCCAAGATCTCCAGATCTATTGTCTCTTGCTTAGAATGCTAAATCGAAAAAAAATGATGCTATCATGGATTCAAAGGGAAAAGTTAAATTTGGGTCTAATGCCACAGATGAATCAGGAAGAGAGTATTCAAGATTCAAAAAATTCAAAAAGAAATGTTCCAGATTCAAAACAGAGTGTTCCAGATTCAAAACAGAGTGTTCCAGATTCAAAAAATTCAAAAAGAAATGTTCGAGATTCAAAACAGAGTGTTGCGGATTCAAAAGAGAGTGTTCCAGAATTTTTAAAAAGGACGGGATTTTTGGTTGACCCCCTTCCGCTGTCTATCAAACCAAACGGAGAATTTCTTATGTATCAAACCATAGTTCTTTCATTGGTTCATAAGAGTAAAGAAATTCTTAATCAAAAATACGTAAAACAACGAATAATTCGCGCTGAAGAGAACAATAATTGTGATCCGCTTCTTATTGAAAATATTTTATCATCTAGGCGTCGTAGAGAATTAAGAACTCTAATTTGTTTCAATTCAAACAAATGGAATGGCGTGGATGCAAATTCTCTAGTTTCCAACAAAAATCAAGTTTGGGAGGAAAGTAACCCTCGGCATAAGGATCCGAATAAATTGATTGAATTTTTTCTTTGGCCTAATTATCGATTGGAAGATTTAGCTTGTATGAATCGTTATTGGTTTAATACTAATAATGGGAGTCGTTTCAGTATGTTAAGGATCCATATGTATTTACCATTGAAATTTAATTGGTGGAAATTTAATTGATAGTAGTACTATCTACCCTCTAGCAGGGTAGATGGTACCAGGTTAGATGAAAAGCAATGAATGGAAATATACCTTATTTTAATTTGTATCTAACTGAATCGAGGATACCATATATTTATTTAGATCTATATAGATACTTTCTCCCTCATCCAAAGAATATTAAGTTGAAATAATTCACTTTTATTTTATTAATGAACCCGAAAAGAGAGGGTTTTCTTTTGATTTGAATTGATAGACTTAGTTAGAAGAATTCTTTTTTAGCAATAAATGTCTTTCACATCCAGTGATAACCTGTAAATCATTTTAAATGGCAGTTCCAAAAAAACGTATTTCGAAAGCCAAAAAGCGTATTCGTAAGAACATTTGGAAAAGAAAGACTATTGAGGTAAGATTAAAAGCTCTTTCATTAGCAAAATCTCTTTTAACGGGTAAGTTTACAAGTTTTTTTTACAAAAAAAATAAAAAAACATTGGATTCATTTCTGTCAAGTTGATTTCTTGTATAATATTTCTTCTTTTTTCTTATCATTTTCTTTCTTTATTTTTCGTTAGTTCGTTTTAGTTACTAATCAATTATTTCATATCTATGAAATAAATCTATAACTTAATTA